CATCCTATCATTCAGTGGCCACTGGCTTGTTCTTTTATTAAAAAAATCCAAACAGTCCTCAGCAGTTGTTTGGACGAAAATCCTAGTTTAATAATTAGTGTATCGTAAGAGTTCTTGCAAATATATTATAATTTTATAATTATTACTAGATTTTGGCGTTTGTCATCCCGCCTGCGGCGGAAAGACTGTGTGGGCGGTGGTGCATCTTTATCGGCGATGCTGGGTTTTTTGATCCGGCTTGCGGCGGGAATGGGGGGGTCGTCGGGTATTGTGTTTTGGCGTGTTGGCAGCACTGGTTAAGCGGTAATTTTTGAACTCGGAAGAGTGTCTAGTCGTAAGTCACGCGATTCAAGTCGATCGTACAACACAACCAGCCAGGTAGGCAATCCGACAACGTCGGATCGCAGACCATACCCCGAGCGTGTATGTCCGGTTCTCGTATGTGTGTTGAAATCGGAAATTCGGGTTCTCTGAGTTTGAGTGTCTAGCTATCAGTCATCTCGGGTAAAAGTCGATTCCCGAGTGTCGGTTGCAGTGGGGGTGTAAGTTTCGTTAAAAATGATAAATGTGACGAAAAAAAAAGAATTTCGATTTAAATCGGCCGCCGGGTTCGTAACCACGACTGTCGGGTGACCCGTTCTGACGCTTAACCTACCTAGCCACCTACCGAGATAAAATTAGGAGTCAAATCTATGACTCTTAAGCCGCGTCGCCGTCCCCGCGAAAGGCGAACGCCGTTTAAAAGGCCGTCAAAGGGCGTTTGAGGCTTTGAGCGCGCGATCCGACCTCTTCGGCGAGCGGACGACCAGCTCCGCCGCCCTCGGACGTATAATACGCGAGTTTTGCAAAAAAATCGAACCTCGAGACGCACGTATTTATGCCTGTATATAGCGGTACCTACTCGGTACCTACCTACTCTCGTTTAAGCGACGCCGCTCCTCCCCGGGACTCGTTTTTGAAAAAGTAGGGCCGCGCGCCGGCTATAAATTTAGCGTGGAACTCGAATACGTCCCCGACGGGGAGGTCGAACGTCTCGTAGAGTTGCTAAACGCGACTCTAGTCGAAAAAGTCGAGAAAACCGTCGAAACGGCGACGACGCGGCGCTCTCGGCGATCGAATCGTCCGCCGGGGGACTCGTTTTTGAAAAAGTAGGGCCGCGCGCCGACTGTAAATTTAGCGGAGAACGCGAATAAGATCCAAACGTGGAGGTCGATACGCCCTAAAACGCCTAAAACTCGAATTTTCAAAAAAAACGACAAAAAACGCGCTCGACGGCGGCGCGCCTATTGCACTCGATCTCGGCGGCGGCGGGGCCGACGGGAAAAAAGTACGGCCGCGCGCGGCTTATAAATCTAGCGGGGAGGGCGAATAAGGTCCGAACGGTGCCCTCCGAGGCATAATATTACATAACATGTATGTTTTAAGAAATTAAAATGTATTGAATTTATTGTAGTCTTTTCATGTTTACTTATTTATTACTTACATTATTATGTATGTAACGAAATTGTCATAAACAATCGACATACCAAGGTCCTACTAAAACTCTTAGCTATAATAGTTAAATGTACTGCAATACTCATGAAAAATGTCTATCTAATACGTGCATTCAAACTACTTATATTTTTAATATATTATTGAAATGCTGATTAATTGCAGCTTCCACAACGCCCGGAATCGCCTTACACAGGCAGTTAGTAAATATAAAATTTGATTAGGTACGATAATAAAATTCAAAATACAATTTATTAAAGCGAACATAACATTTTAGAAGATTTTAAAAACAATTATTATGTAGTAGTAATGCAAAGAAAAAATCGGTTGTCTGTAAAGTCGGTTTACTGACGATAGTTGAACGTGACAACGTGTTAAGAAAATACTGAAGGAATGGTAGCATTTTTCAAAAGTAAATTTTAATTTCATTTGTTTAATAGATTTGTTTTTTTTTTTTTTTTTAATTGATCTTTTTAAAGCCCGGCGACTATGGCCATTAGCTTGATTACGTTATTTTTTATTTTATTTATTTCAGCAAAATCAATATCATTATTTCTATACAATAGTCAAATTATAAAAGTTAAAATAATACAATAATAGTGATAAGAGCTGATACGTATACCAACTGAGCAAGCTCGTTTCTAGTATAAATTGTGATTGTAGGGTTTATGATTGTAATTTGTAGGTAGTAGGGTTTGAAATTGTAGGGTTATTACACGTGTATGTTGTGTTTGGCAGAATTTCTATTGGGCCACCCGTAGGTTTCTGCCATGCCCCGGAGTGCCCCCTGTTCTCCGGACACCGTGACTTGCTCGGAGAAAAATGCCGCCCAGTGGTCGAGAGAATCGAACCCGCGACCGCCAGCGCCGCAGACGACGTGTTCGACCGCTCGGCCACCTCGTCCCCCATTAATAGATTTGTATGTATATAGAGAAGGAGGTAAATGGAAATCACAATGGAATTTATAAATTTATATTTAAGGGGCAAAAATTATTTCGAAAATAAAATTCTTATCACTTTCCTTATCAATAAAAACAATATTTAAGAAAATCCCAATAAATCCTATCAAAAACTCAAAACCCCGAGTTTCCCCTTTGCGAGGTGGGTGTTAGTACTCTCCCGGACCAAAATCCATCAAAAAAGCAAAATCCGAAAGGGGGAGGAGGTGCCCCCGTTCCCTAAAGCGGAAAACGGTAGTATTCATAAAAAGAATGGGTTCCCCCTTGGTCCGAGGTCTTTAACTTGAATTCCGGCCGAGTTATACTCAACTCAAAATGTGGGGGGGTGGGGGCTTTGGTTCCCTAATGTTGAAAATTCATCTGGGGCCTAAAAAATTGAGATGCCCATTGGTACGGGGTCTCTAAGTCGAATACCGGCTAAGTTATACTTCGTCAAAAATAATTACTCGTTTAATGGGTCCCCCCACTCCACCCGACGGTCAAGGGGTAATCGATTTATAAGACGTTATTTACACGGGTTTTTGAATTTTTGAATCTCGAGCACTTGAACCGTTTCTGAATTTTTCGTTTTTACATATTATAATATTACACACGGAAATATCCCAATTTTCATAATATATAGAAATACGGAATAATAATAATAATAATGTTCGAAAATATTCGTCGATAAGGAAAAGGGAGATAAGCGAGCGGAATTTATAGCGAATGCGAGGGAAGTATTGTGATTGGTCGTCATGGAAGAAACGCGGAGTGCCGTCAGCGCTCCCCGCGGATCTTATACGCGTTATTAGCGTTTTATTATATAAGATATTATAGGTAGTCAAGTATTATTTAATATACATTTTTTATTTTTTCAGAAAAAAAAGTATACCACAGAGGGAAGAGGAACGACGATGTTTATAAGAAATAAAATATGTACTAAAGAGATCAATATGTCGGCCGTGATCGTCGTTGGACTGCTGGTGCTTTTGTTGGCCACTCAACAGTCCAACGGTCAAGTCCAACAGTTTCCCGGAGTGGCTGTCACGGAGTGTCAAGTTGACCAAATGCCCGCAGTGATGACCACAGAGGATAAAATCGACCGAATTCCCTCGGTGGCGGTCGTGGACGATCAAGTTGACCGAATTCCCGAAGTACGATCGCGGATGGTCTGCCGGGGCCGTGGATATCTGAGCTGTTTTACCGGGCGCTTTCCAATTTCAGAATTCAGCAAGCCGGCAGTGCTGCTTGCCGGACCCAATCCGACATGTACGACAGACATTTGCGGAACCACACCAGTTGGGCGGTCAGAAGTGAGTACCTGCTCGGATTATATTGTACAATTACCAAACATTTTAGTTCCCATCATATACTATTACAACCATTGTAGTATAAAAAAAAAGTAAAGTAAATAATTCACAGTAATTTTTATAATAATCTGGAAAAACTAAAAAAAAAACCTAGGTGGAAAAACGGGAATATTTACGCCGACGTGGCTATCGACAAAATCGATTTAACTTGCTGAGATCAGTAATATGTGTTATTTTAAACTTTTAGAATTAAATAATAAATTGTTAGATAACTTTACTATTATTTATTAGTAGATAACTTAAGTGATATACCTAACTCAACGTACCTATAGTAATGAACTTTGACTTTATAATAGTTTTATAGTCTATACATTTAAACAACGAAATAATAATTATCATATTCAGCAAACAGAGTTGCCGACGTTTACTATAAACTATAATGTATTGTATTATTAAATTACTTAGTATTAAAATATTATATTAAATATTATTTATTTTATGTAATTCGTTAATATTGACGTAAAAACGTTTGTGTAAAAACGGAAAATGTTTCGTACGATCTAAAGATATTTTTTCAGAATCAAAATCAGACAACGTTTTATAACAATTGTCAACAATATTGTGAAAACGATAAATAAATTGTAGTGAGATTGGTATGGTGAATTTATATATTTATATACTTTTATCGAGTTGAGAGTGGTACCTGAATTGAATTTCACTCACACTAATAATCATTTACAACCAACATATTATATATCCCAGGCTGCTATGACAAGATTAGAAATTGCCTAAATTTTGCCCCTTAAATAATAACCGTAGCGATTAAGTTTCCCGTATTGTTGAATATTGTATTTGTATTTTTTAGTTGGTTATTACTTATTATAAATTTATAAATTTATTGTTATGAGAATAATGAGTGTCTTGTCGCTACTTATGATTACAGATAAAAAAAATTATTTTTTTTAGCACTTATCTAACACGACATCAACATTTTTGTCGAGGAACACCTATAATTTTTTAAACAGTTGGATTAGGTAGCATATTTTGGAAAGAAAAAAAAAGTAATTCTGACATGGTGCACTTAGTATATAATATTATATAGCGTGCAAACTCATGAGTCACGATTCATACGATACATGCAATATCGTAAAGGAATCTCATAATTTTAGCCTTTAGGTGTGGTTGAACCATTGTATTTTTTTCAGTGGCTGAGTCCTGGAACCGATATCCGACGGGAATATTAGCGGGCAACCAATACCACATGGGAATTTACGACGAATGCGTGGACGTGCGTCATCCGGTGATAGGACAGTATTGCTTGTCCGAAATAAATCTAAGACCATCGATGGGCAGAGATTACAGTTTCAACAGAACGGACAATCTAGACGATTTTGGGAATAATAATGCCTGGAAAACAATACTCGGGGTACGCAAATTGGAATACTTACTATTACAAATTTTTTTTTTTTTAAAGCAAAAGTACTGTTATATATCTTTGGTGAGCGGTCAAAAGGTCATAAATAGTCATAAATAGTCACAAATATAATATGTGGTTTTGAATATTGAACAGTTGTGACAATTTCGATATTTTAATAGATAAAAAAACAATGAATCACATTTTAATTTTAATTTTAGGTAAACCGAAAAATACTTAGAATTTATGGGTAAATTTTAATTTTGCATTTCTAATATTATAACGCAGTTAGTTATAACAGTCTAGTTATCATTTTAGAAAGTAAATTATTGACGGGGGCCAAAAACACGGCCTGTGTGTGGTATTAATTTTAAATACTTACATGTAATATTGTTTCAGTGGGGCGATTATCCGGACAAAGTGAAACGAAACAGATTGAATTTAGGAATATGCATTCCGGATTCATGTTCGGCATTAGACCTGCAAACTTCATTACAAAACGAACTGGACAAAGTGTTCACGCCAGAAGAGATCGAGGCCGTTGTCAAAGTGGATCCGATCATGTGCACTGTCAAAGGAGATATGTATCCCTACAACACATCGTACTACGTGACCAGGTCATTCGATATTATGATTATTACTTTAGTTTTATTATTAATGCCAAAATTCTTCACAATTCGTATTGACGATAAAACATAATTGCATATGTTCAAGTCAATAGTTTTTTCCTAGTCATAAATAATGTCCGAAATAGCTGACGTTGTCGGAGATAATATTATAATATATTACTATAAGTTATACCCAGGGCTCGCATTTGAAAAATAATCGTTTTATGTTATTTACAATAATCAAAACGTTACACAATTTTTGAGGTTATCATTATTTGAAAGTAAAACGGTGTACAAGTTTTGCGTTTATCGTTATTTAGAATTGAAACGTTATTGTACATTTGTACCTACACAACATTTAATACCTATAAGGGGATTCGATCCCATGATTTTCTGTTTTCGTCTTACACACGCTTGACATAGTACTTTAGACGTGTTTTTTGACAAACATACCAATTGATCTAATGAAGCGATAAGAATTCTAAAAACAGATTTGCATTTGTCGTCAAGTCTACTTGAAATCGACTTTCTCACATTTTTGATTGTTTGATTTAAACTTTTCCGAAAATTGAAATACAAAAATTTTTATATACTCTTTTTTAATATGACATTTTGGTGGATAATATCAAAAATGTGGGAAAGTAAATTTCAAGTCGACTTTACGAAAAATTCAAATCTGTTTTCAGAATTCTTATCGATTTATTAGCTCAATATTGGTATGTTTGACAAAAAACACGTCTAAAATACTATGACAAGCGTGTGTTGGACAAAAACAGAAAATCACGATATCGAATCAATTTTAAAAATAATAATTAATGTCTGGAATTGTCCGGATACTGAGTATCATATTATAATAAATTCTAAGTTTTTTTGCTAACCAAAAAATAAATCATATTATGAAATAAAATATATTTAGATTATTCTACGAAACCAATATTATAAGTAGTTATAAGTTATAAACTATTTCGTTATGTGTTATTTTTCGTTTGATGATATTTCATAAATTACGTTTTGCTTTATGTTTTGTATATCTTATATATTTTGTTAATTGTTGTTTTGTGGTATTTAATTATTGTTGTTTATTGCATTCCGTTATAGCTACGTTTACAAATTTCAATAGGTTTTCGTCAAATATAGCGTTTTAATCATAACGTTTTATAACGTTTGCGAGCCCTGAATTTATAACGGGTTAACGATGAGTACCCACAAAGTGATAGAAATTATATAAGAGAGTGTTTAGAAATTTAGGCACCTATATTAGATACCTATAATTTAGTACTCCGTACCTATACGAGTAACAGTAAAATGTTATACTCATTTGTGTGTTAACATTGTTTCAGGATGTGTGTTTTAATGATTGTTTTGATTTGTAGCGGCACAACGTTGTATCATTACATAAGAATATCATACGATAAAAATCCAAAAAAATCAATTAGTGAGTGATAAAATATATTCCACTGAAATTATTATTTTTATTTGTATAGATATTATACAAATTGTACGCAATTGTAAAAATGCATGTGAATTTCATCTATGCGCATTATAATATATTTTATATTATCAACAGGTGAAGGTTTTGGTTCATTTTGCGATACTTTTTCATTTATTGATTCAAGTAAAGCCTTGTTAAAATTCGATAAGGACAGCGAACTGAATGCTCTCTATGGATTTAAAGTGATAATGATGATCTCCATTATCATGGTTCACAGATTATTTTCTATAGTTGGAAACCCGTTGAGTAACCCTAAACGCTTAGAAAGTGTAAGTCACGAAAATGTTTTCGAAACGGAATTACCTAGAAATTATAAAAAACAAGATAATTGCACGTTGGCCAATTTGAATTGTTAACCATTCAACAGTACTAACTATCAAAAAACCCCCCCTTAAAGCCGAAAACCTAATTATCAATTATTGAAGAATAAAATATTCAATAAAATGTAATGCAAGGTTCCACATAATTATAATAAGTTAATTAAAAATTATAATAAGTCCACATCACAATATTAATTTCTACAACAATTGCAGGTTTATCTCAATGGACCAGATTTTCTATTAACTGCTTCGAACATAATCGACCCATTTTTTTTCATAAGCGGTTTTGTTATGTATCTGAACATCTCTCGGTCATCTAAAAAATCTGAAACCATATTCAAAAACATCACATCGCCAATTATCCATCGAGTGTTCAGGTGAGTTAGAACGATGCATTTGAAAATGTAATTTGTCAGCTAGGGAATATTGAGTGGTAAATGTTCGGTATCCTTTTTTAGATCATCTCAAATATATTATTTTTAAAATGTTTCCTTCTAATTTCTAAATAGCGTTTCTACTATTATTGAAAAACTTCTTTTAATTTACCACTACACATGTATTACCTAGTATTTCGTTTTATAGTACAGGTTTGTTCATTAGGTAATATACCAATTGTTTTTTTTTTAAATGTACACTTATCTTTTCATATTGAATTATAGGTATGTCAATACACAAATAACTCATAGGTAGTCAAAACATTCAAATCAAGTATTACCAAAGTAATACAAATAGTAATATAATAATAATTCGAATAATCACAGTTATCTATATCTTATAATATACTTACGTATAATCCACACGACTCACAAGCGCAGATTATTCTTGATTGCAAAATTATCAAGTATAATAATAACGTATTGAATAACGAGTAAATATTGGTAGATATATAGGTACCTACCCATAATATAGTGTTGTAGATACCAAACCATCAAACGTGTGTATTAGACGAGTATTTATTAAATAATGATTGTATAATATTATAATTTTTTATACTACTGAATCGATCCGTAGAATGTTACCGACTTATTGCGCAATGATGGCTATCACAGCGCACATCGTACCTCATCACGGCGACGGACCGCTGTGGCCAAAGATAGTATGAGAAGAAGCCGAAATTTGCAAAAATTATTGGTGGACCAATTTGTTGTTCATAACCAATTTTCTCGAAACAAAATACGGAGTAAGACGTCACCACAATTTATTATTTTTCTTTAATTGATTATTATAATATTATACATAGATTAAAACCAGCTTAGTTTATTATAATTTTACCTATACACTGGTGGAACTATTTATTTCGACCCAGTTACTGAGGGTAAATATTGACTACCAACATATTACCGATGGTAAATTTCTCCAGTGGAGTTATATATCCCCAGTGAAATTTTATTTGGGGTAAAATATACCTATTGAAATACCGAATATATCAGTGAATTACCAAATTGATGATATTTTACCACTTGGGTTAAATTTCACTAGTGATTGTTTACTCCTGGTAAAGTATCGGTAGGTATATTTTACATTTTTATCCCTGTAAAATTCCATTAGGAATAATTTTATTTACCGCCTATAAGATTTACGCCTTATAAAATATTCAACTAGGTGGTGAATATAATATTACATAGGTTGGTATGTAAACTAATTTATATATAATTTGTTTTTATATTATAAGCTTATATTTTAACTTAACTAGGAATAAGGTCCATTTCCCCAATCCCTCTTTTTTTTTCTATTATAAAAAAAGTCCTTGGACACTAAGAAATAAAAAAAATAATGAAACACTTTGTCAAAACCATATACTTTCATCACTCCACTCAAAATATAAAATGAATACACTGACTAAATTCACGTATACTGCAAGCTGAATAAATTCTTATTCTAAGCAAATAGTTAAAAAATTAAAAGTTATTTATAAATTATTCGGTTAGCGTAAAAGATTAACATACTAGGTAGGTACCCAAATGTTAATATCTTCTTGATGTCTAAGAAATAATTCAATGTTCACACACGAAAAAATGTGTTATAAATTATATAATATATTATTAAAAAATTGGAGTTTTAATAAAAATTATATTTCATATAAATAAAATGTAAGTATAAAATTAATTTTCATATTTTTCTTTTATTAAAGTAGGTGGGTGCAATCGTACCGTCGTCCAAGCCACCACTGTTGATAAATAATAATTTTCTTATTAATAACAATAATTAATATAGATACATTTTTTTTAAACCATTTGTATAAGCCCATTTTAATATACTATGTGTGTAATACAATAATATTGTATGCAGATGTATATTCTATTTATTCTATCTATTTTATTTATTTATTCTATTATACTCCTGGTAAAATACAACTAAAGATAATCTACCTCCTATAAGATTTACACCTGGTGAAATTCCACTATTTCTAGTGAATATTTAACATGTGTATAATACAATATATATAGGGATGTATAATTATTATACCCACTCGTATTTTTGATAATATTACAGTGCCTCATAGTGAACTACTACGTGTCTTGTGATGTTCAGTTTTTCGTAGTTGGAGTGATAATTGTTTACGCTTACATGAAAAAACCCAAATTTGGAATCGGATTAATCGGTACGGCACTGTTTTTGTCGGTATCCGTTCCGTTTCTGGTCACGTTTATGACGAAAAGAAAAGGAATGTATCTAATGAATTTTGAGTAAGTCTAATTTATAATTATTAATAATAGTTCCTCAATCGTTAACTTAAATAATTTTAATAGTACCTAAATATGTGTACGTAAATATCAGAAATATTCAGAAACAATTATTGTAGAGGATTATTTGTTTCCTGTGTAATTAGTGCTACTGCAGTAGGTTAAATTAATTTTTGTCAAAAATATCATTGTATGTATAAAATATAATAATATATTTTAAAAGTTTCAAGTACCATAAGAAATAAAAGTTTTAAATTACATCAAAACAACTAAAACTGTATCATTCTTGAAACATCTAATTTCGTTTAAAGTTTAACTTAAAATGTCTATAAAGTAAAACTGTGTATATAATGTACACATTTATATACACATTTACATTTAGGTTTTTTAAACCTTTTGGTTAAAGTCGGAACTAATTTCCTGGAACCTTATTGTTTTATATTTTCAATCTTCAACTTTAAAAATCGAGCATTTTATACTCTGAAAACTACAAAATAATTATAAAATTTGAAGTTTAAATGCTTATACAAAAAACAGTGACTATGTATTTTAATATTTTTAAACTGCTATTTGACCCAATGAATAAATATTATTGGCATTAATAGAAAAATAAAAATAGCAAAATGAAAATTACAAAATCTGTTAAGAGCTCAAAACGAGTCAACTTATATTTTGAAAGTTTTATCGAGTGTATATAATAAAATGTTGAGTAAATTTCAAGTATCTACTGTTATTTTTTTTTAATTACATTTACAACAAAATAAAAAAATCGTTCTATGAGAAATCGAGTGAATATATCCAATGTCGTAAAGTTTTAACTTCAAACTATCATAAAAATTTGACTTAATAGTAAGGCAGTAAATATTATTTTTGGATTAAGATAGGTAAAAGGTTCATAAGGTTAATAAGGTTAATCTTGTATTCAACTATCAATAGATTTTAGATTCTGAGTGGAACGATGAATGTATTGATTTTACAATGATGTGTGATTTTTTATTTTTTTATTTTTTATTTTTTAATTTTTAATTTTTTTTTTAATTTTTTTGTGTCTGTGTACACGATAAGTAGTCGAAATAATGCTTCGATTTTCAACTTCAGTATCTTGTTCGATTGCAAATTGAATATCGTTGGTGCATTGGGAGGTCAAAATTTAAATTTCCAAGTAGTTTTCAAAAGCGCCGGGAAAAACAAAAGAAAAATTAAGGAAAAACGGGAATTTTTACGCAAAATCTGTTTTCGAGAAAATCGATTTTCGTTTTTGGTGTAACTTTAAAACAAATGACCGTGGATACAAGAAACTTTCAGTGGTTGTTTATATTAGCATTTTCTATACACGATAACATTTTCAAAATATTTGGATTTATTTTGAACTGTCTAGGGAAATTTTCAGTTTCCAATTTTATTAGTTTTTTTTTTTTATGAATATCAATAAAAAATTATTTGTTGAGTAAAAATACTTGAAAATTTAATACAAGGCTCCTACTATATTGTTTCAAAGACAGATGAAAAATATTAAAAATCGTTAGTCACAGTTTTTTTTTTTAAGCATTTAAAGTTCAAAAAATGACAAAATATGGAAAAATCACGAAAATTTGAAAACTATTTTGAGTTGGAAATTCATAAAAATTTTTCTTTTTAAATCTTAGATATGAAAATGTAATACAAGATTCCTTATAAGATTTCCTACATTTAACAAAAAAAAAAAAATTCTATAAGAAAGTCAAATTAAATTTTTATGAGCGTTTGAAATTCAAATTTTTACAACATTGGATATTTACTCGATTTCTCATGTTGCGATTTCCTTTTTTTTTGTAATTCAAAAACGAATTACTGTAGATACATGAAAATTTCACTGAATGTTTATATTAGCATTTCTTATACACCATACAATTTTTAAAATATTTTGACTCTTTTTGAGCCGTTTACGGACATTTTAAGTTTTCAATTTTTTTAGTTTTTTTTTTTTCTATAAATATCAATCAAGTTTTATCTGTTGGGCCAAAAAGTGTAAAAAATTAATACAAGGCTCCTGATATATTGTTACTATAGCAATTGAAAAATATTAAAAATACATAGGCACAATTTTTTTTTATAAGCATTTAAAGATCGCATTTTGACAAAATTTATCAAAATCTCGAAAATTATCAATCATCGTAATATTCGTAATTAATAAATTATAAAATGTTCAGTTTTTATAGCTAAGGATTGAAAATTTAAAAAAATGATTCTCATAAATAGTTCATACTGTAGCCAAACAATCTAAAAAATATATGAGCACAGTTATTTTTTACAGACATTTTAAATTCATATTTGGACAAAATTACATATTAAAATCAATATTAACGATCTTGGTTTTTTGTTGTAATTTAAAAATATTATTCGGGGATATATGAAACTGAAAAATCAAAATATTATGGTCTATCCATACAATCTACCATATTATAAGGAATAAGAAGTATGCTCAATGATAAGACTGTGTATATTTTAAGGGCCAATGAATGATTTATTCATAAATTCCATATAATTTAATAACATAGATAAGTATTTAATGTCTTATACCTAGACTGACATACAGTCTCCGCTCAGAATCGTTTTTCTTATACAATGATATTATATCATTGAATTCAAATTTAATACCATCCATTACACAGTGACCCACTTGTAACCTATAGTACAGCAGAGCGACATCCACTTACCCACCTTTTTTTTATTGATATTAGTTTTGAAAGTACTAAAAAAATACACAATTTGTGAGCCTATAAATAACTTAAAATAACTTTCATCTGAAATGACTTTTTGCTAGACGTTATCTAGGTATAGATTAGAATAAATTATTCAACTTTATTTAGGTATTTAAATAGGTACATTAAAAGTTAGAAATTATCTTGTTATCATAATATGTTTTTGTCGTATCTATATAATATTATAATTATTATATAAAGGAAGGAAATAATTAGTTAATTAAATGTAAAACTTTCTTCAGGTATTTACAAAGCATGAGATTTTACTTGTCGGTAAATGAGTCGTACAGATTAAGTTACATGCGAGCCACGCCTTTCTTTGTTGGTTTAGCAACGAGCTTTATCGTGGAAAAGTTGAAGGAAAATAAAGTTAAATTTTCCTACGTAAGTACCTTTATTATTTTTATAAACGCTCGTTATAACATTTTTAAATTCAAAAAAACTGAATTTCAATAATTGTGTGTACCTACCTATCTGTAGATTACTGTTTTTGGTGGAACATTCATTGTTTCTGCGGTTTGTCTTTGTGCTCAGCTTTACGGTGCCAAATTTCACCCTCAACATTATAGACCTTATTATCCGTCGGAACATGCTTTGTTATCAGTAGTCAATCATTGCACGTGGTCGGTATGGGGCATGTGGTGTTGCATTTGCTTGTTCACGACTGGATATGGTAATCTAAATTGCATTATAATAATATCTCTTAAGTAGTTTATGAATTCAAGATATGTTTTATTAATGTGACAAGTAATTTACAAAAATGGGTAATGGTCACATACTCTTTAGTGAACAAACTTTATTGACTTTTGTACATTACCTATTCGTGATTCTGATAGTTAACACATGAAAAATTGAAAACCGTTAGTAATTTATTAAAATTGAATAAGTAATAATTATAATTGCTTTTGTAATATTGTTAGTTGTATACCTTCCATTTTCGTACTCAGGGTGGTTGCTTATTTTAACTTACCAAAGTCGGGGGGGGGGGATTTATCTGTACAGTCAACTAGAAAATAATGAAGTAAATTCATACAGTAAAAACTATTGAGAACTTTTAATTTTGACCTCCAAAAAGTACCAACTAGATCCAAGTTTCCACCATAAACCTCTATCGAAGTTGATGATCAGAACATTTTTTCTAGTGGAATATAGTTGAATAGTAAAGTTAAAGTTGTACAAACTCTTTAAAATACCTAACGTAAGCGTCTTAAATTATTAGACAGGACAATATAAAATAAAATGTATTGTAATTATTAATAGTCAAGCTCACCCACTGAAAAATTCTGCGTAAGCCACTGCTACTCACAGCGATGACACGTATAATATTGCAGTGCAGAGAAAAATAATTTTAAAAAGTATTCAAGCTCAAAATTAATTTTTCACAAACTTTTATTGAAAAAGCCATTATAGGGTATATCAAATTCAACTCAGTCTTATCTCGTCTTATAACGACATTACTTATACAACATTATACGCAATGTGACTGAACGAAGGCGGGGAATTTATAAAATTCTTAGTCAATTAATGTATTAATGTTTTATCGGTTTTATTAGGACGTATGTTAAAGGTATTAAAGGTACAAACGTATTATTTCATGATATAAGTGTATAACCTTTAACATAATGCAATATTTAAACTCTAACATATTATTATATATTATACGTCAGAACATATAAACATAAATCCAGAACGAAATAATTTGAACGGTTAGTACATAATATGCAATCTATATAGGTATATAAAAATGAATCCATATATTTTCCTTTAGTCACGCCATAACTTTAAAACGCCTTTACTGATTTGGTTGATTTTTTTTCTGTTGTGTTCGTAATTGTCAGGACAGTGTTTATATGAAAGAACATTATAGGAAAATTCACCGGGAAAGCAGGAAATCTGCATGTCAAAAATACAACAGTGGCATCATCTGTCCAGCAAAAAAATAAACTAAATAATAATATATTTTTGTTTGTTGCTATTGGTTATGATTGAATATAATTTTATACCTGTAACTTGGTCAAAACCATATAACCATATAAGTAAAAATGGTATTCCTAATGTTAATTTTTCGACCGTTGTCCCGGGAACCTACACATACACATC